TCTCCTCCAAGTACGCATGCGGACGGCCAGCCAAGTACTCGCGGAGTCGAGTCCTGTGTTGTTCTTGCAGCGTCCTTGGCCGCCCAGTCTTTACAAGAGCTGGTGCGTATGGCTGACCCCAGTATGCTAGATTTAGTCGCTTCGATGCTGTACAACGACGCGTTACTCCAGTATGTGTATATATTTGGGCGTTGCTGACTCCAGCAGCGATTCGATCAAGTACGGCTTGTAAAACAGAGGGCTCCAAGTGCGAGCGACCGGGGTGGCGGGTTGTCATTGTAACAACTACAACACAAGATAATCGCGATAGCCCAATTACGAGTAAATCAACAGCTTCAAGAAACGATGTACTGCGCGGTTGTTCTTAATTCTTAATTATTGAAGTTTGCTATATAAAACTGTCCGTGCGCGGGAACACCCCGCAAGTCACGGGGTGTACCAGCGTTTCGCAAATAATAATATCTACAGTGCGCTAGTGCGGGAGCTAATCAAACGAGCTGACTAATGAGAGCGCTGCCTGCGCGGACAATATTGTTGCCTTTCTCCTCGGTGGCCCTACTCCCCATGTCCTGCGCGCTGTAGGTAACGGTTCCCACGATTACATATTGATTGGGGATTGCTACGTATACGGCGTAATGAATGGCGAGGCATTCCACTATCTCAGGAAGGAAGTTGAGATCATGGGGTGTAAATTGCCACTGACTAGAACGGGTCCCGAGCATGTGAGATTAAAGACATTTAGTATAGCATGACCACGGTTACTCGCATGAAAAGCGCTTCACTGAGGAGCGCATCTCCTTCAATTGTCTCAGAGGGTAGGACCATACTGGACCTTGAAGTGATCAAGATTGATAGACTTTGGTAGATGTGGAACGTTTCGAGACGAAGATGAAGGCCGTCACTACTTCATACTGTCTCTGATTGTGGCATACATTCAAGCGAGATACCCTATCGAAACCTTAATTTGCGTCTCGCTCTGTTCCGCGCACTCTTCGCAAGAACGTTGGGCTGTGCTTTGATTTCTCCATATCGGTTTTCGGCCCGCTTCAATTGCCATTGTCTGGTCGCCCACCACTCTCCCCCCCGTGTAATTTTGCCTTCCTGAATCAGTACCTGCGCTTCCTCGTAGACCTCTCGATCCCGTGTATCTCGCTCCATGCGTTCCTGTAAGGCGCCGAATTTAGCCTCCTCTGCCGCAAGCTTAGACGAGTGGGTTTCTCTGAACTCCATAGCTTCTTCGAGGCGCCTCTGTCGTGCTATGGCGAGCATGAGATTGTAAAGGTAGAGTCCAGGTATCGATTCGCCTGCGTGCTTGCATAGCTCGATAGAGCGGACATGTTGGCTTTCTGCTTCGACGAAGTCTCCCTTCCACTGCAGAAACACCCCTTGATTGTTGACAAGGTCATGATTGTCATCCCCAACAGTACAGCCGGAAGAGTTCATCCATTCGCGCAGCAGTCGGCGGAACTGCTCGATACTTGTTTCATCTTTTGCGTTTGACGCCTCAAGGGCGTCGAGACAGTTTTCCGCAGTCTTGGTCACTTCATTTAGTGTGACCTTGAACTTTCCCTCTCCCCGAACCTTTGCTACAATTCCGGCAGTCAGAACAGCATCCAAGATAGGTTGGCACTCTATCCACCTGTCAAACGTACTGAGACAACCAGTGAGGTTGTTCGCCGCTTTCCATGTGTCCACGTCCTCGATTCCTAGAACCTCCAGTGACTCCTCGAGTACCAGACCATGAATACGAAGCTGTTCCTCTATCAGGTGGACTTGTGAGCTCTCCCAATCTTCTCCACTCTGGTCATCGGCTCTTGATGACATTGTCCGAATAATCTGGCACCTCAGATTGAGCATGATCAGGAATAATCGTCGAGGCACGGCAACTTTCCCAGCGTCCGTCTCAGCGAATTCGAGAAGTGCGGCGTTTATTTCTTCAGCCTCTTCAATCTTGTCTTGATGGAACAACGAGTGGGCCAGGTTGTGCCTTATATTGACGCCACGGGTGGTCCATTCGTCCACTAGACCTGATCCGAGTTGCGACCGATGGAGCTGCTCCCGCGTCGCGTGGTCATCTCTTGCCATGATACTTGTAGCCAGACTCGATTGCAGGGAAATTCTATATTCCTCCAGCTGGGCAGGTGCTATGCCAGATCTGGCAAAATCGGACTCTAGATATTTCAGTGCTTCTCGGATAGTCTCCTCAGCTTCCTTATGCCTCGATGCATCCGTATACTGCTGGTTTGTGTTCTTCATCAAGGTAAGAATCATTCCTGGACTTGATGCCCATTCCGTATGGCCCATGTCCTCAGCTTTCTGGGCTAGATGGACAGCAGCGTCGAAGATGTTTGATATTCCGAAGAACTGACTTGTACGGAGCAAAAGGATTGAGAGTGGCTTGCTGGACATAGAGTTGTCATCACACAACTCTATCATTCGAATTGCATGAGGGGCAAGATATGTTGCCATTAGCCAAGCAGGATCAGACCGCTCTTGGATCAATGGGAAGATGGTCCAGATTAAATCGACCAAATGGCCTACATGAGCGCTGATCTCTGATGGTGTTGTCAGGCCGAGGATCCTTTCATGAACCACTGGATGGACCGTGTACTCAACGAAACCGGAGTCGCTCTCTACCTCATCGAGCAGCGACAGACTCAAGGGCTTTTTTGTCAGGAGTATGAACTCTGACTCTGATAAGTCGCGGAATTCTGGAAGTTGCCGGATGAGAGATCTAGGGATATTCTGCCAGTGAAGACAGCCGATGTATGTAAGCAGTGTTGCAGATAGTGGGTGCTTCTCGATCAAAACATCAAAGGAGATTTGCCAGGTAATGTTCACAGACTGTTTAGCATTCCGTGGATCCGTGGTCTGAAAATCGCGCGCTGGAGCCCCCATTAGCTCCATCCTCTGCCTCTTACTCTGGAAGAAACTAACATAATCATCAAAGTTGAGTTGCTGGTCAACGATATTGGCTGCGGCCTGAGCAATGGCCAAGGGTAGACAACCTAGCTCCTGAACGAGATGCTGGGCCTTCATCTCTGAGTCTGAATGATCCAGGATCAGGTGTCTTGGAATGGATGCTAGCAATAGCGCTGTAGCTTCTTCCTTGCTCATGCATTCAACTTTGAGGCCGTCACTTGCTGCGCCTACAGTGCCTTGAAAGCGACGGTCTCGCGTAGTAATGAGCATGCGGCCGTGACGTGGTAGGAACTGACCAATTGAGAGCCCTTGAGAATCGTCACAGTTGATGTCTCTTCCGAGAAACGCATCCATGTCATCCGCGTTGTCAAGAATCAACAGCCACGAGTCAGAACTGTCCTCTAACTTGCGTCGTGTGATTTCCAAGATGTTGCTAGAGTCGACAGCTGAATGCATCTGCTCCGGGAGTGCGCCGGATAATTCTTTCAAAATCTGGGCATAGTCGGCGGCGAAGTTGGCAAAGCGATCTGCGCGGATCCAAAATACGGAGAGTCGATGCCTCACAATCTCTGCGAATCTGAGAGCAATCTGCGTTTTCCTACCAATGTTAAAGGTTGACTCAATGGAGGGATAACAATGACCGACCCAATGCCACCCAAACCCCACAATACGAAGATCTGAGCCGCGTGTGATTTCGCTCTGAAGAAGTCCATCAATCTTTCCGAGTAAAGCGGCCGTGCGATGAAATGTGTACACGGACGAGAAGGCAAGAGGCATGGCTTCGGTTGAATCTCAATATGTACTGAAAACCATCAGATGCGTCAGCCAAGATAAGTCACAGAACTAGGGGTGTAGCCTACAATTCTCATCCGGACCCAACAAAGATTTGGCACATCCTGTGATCAAGTCTCCGTTGCTGGGATGACCCATGTACTCTGTTGCCAATGCTCTCATCTTTTCTGTTTCTTTCCATTCGTCGAGTTTCAGATCCTGCATACCTTGCGGGATGCTGAATCGAAAGTAGCGTTTGGTTCGAAACAGCTCTATACCCAGCTCAGAGGATGCGAAGGCTTTGGCGATGTCATCAGAGTCTGTGACCATCGCTACGACGCCCTTCAGAATGCTAGCAAAACTGGAAGTAATTGACTCGCTCTTCTTGACGCCTGTACCTAGACTCAGAACACATCCTATTTTGCAATCCTTCCACCCTCGTTCACGAGCAACTTCTGAGAGTGCCTCATTGATTGGATTGTTGCGTTGCAAGCCGCCGTCACACCACTTTTCTCCAGTCTCTTTGAACTGCACATTTTTGAAGTACAGCGGTGCAGCAGCGGTCGCACTTGCGGCCTCCCAAATGGTACAAGTATAGTTCTCCGCTGTCGGGTGGAGCGATGTGTAGTTCCTTAGCACGTCAGGTTTGCTGATTTCGGTTCTGGTGACACAAAGCATACTGTGAGAGCAATTAGCCTTCAGCATCTGGCGTAGATCGATGATTGGCGACAATACTCACACCTTGCAGGGAGCAACACCGTGCTCCAGGAAGGTCGTGTCACGCTCGATATTCTTAGAGTCCAGAACTAGCTTTACCTGTTCCTGTAAAACCCCGATGTCGTAGAATGAAGAGCTACTCAAGCCCTTGAACATCTTTCCAAGCGTGCCTCCATAAAACTTCTTGCCGAAGACCTCTCTACCGACCTGCTCATACTTCCCAATGCACTCGTCAATGGTCATGTGTAATCTCCCTAGCATGACAGCAATCACGCCGCCAGTAGAAGTGCCTACAATGAGATCGAAGACATCACATGGCCTAGGGACCTCGCTGAGGTGGCCTATGTCCTTCATTGTACGGAAGATGCGTCGCAGAATGAGGAGAGAGGTATATCCTTTGATTCCACCTCCATCGAGACAGAGTACGCGGAGGCTTTCAGCTCGGAGTTGGCCGGTTCTAGCGTCCTCCAGTCTTGCTTGGTTCACAGGCGCCATAGCTCACGACGTTCCTTCACATAAGCCTGAGCAGTACCCAACACGGGTCGGCGTGGGCACCAGTTGTGATGCGTGAGTCGAGAACGAGGACGTGGTTGGTGTGACCAAGGGTGGAAGGAGGGCCTGGGAGGCTGCGGCGGACCGGGTGATGTATCTTTATGGTACAATAGTTTTTGCGTCAGCTTTGGTCGTGAGATGCACAGTATCCAGTATTCGCACGGAAGCTGGAACGTGAGAGATATGAGGTTTCCATGGCGGCTGTGCTCGCCAACGTGGACTACACATCAGCTGAGGCTGAGGTACTGGATGTTCAGCCTTTCACGTGAGCCACCTTGAGATATTTTGGACCCGCGGACCTTGAAATGCGCTAACCCAAAGCATCGTGCCTCGGCTCAACCCCAGCTTTCGACTTCGGATGACGCTCGCAATTGCACCTTCTTCATACATACATTTAGTTCACAGGAAACCAACCACAGACAGCGAGAACGTGACTTTTGGAATTTGCTCAGTTTATCGCATGCTAACGGTCGCTCTTGACGCTAATTAACTAGCCAGCACCCAGCCGTAGCGCCCACTGCGACTGACGTTCATTGTCACGGGTATTTCTTCCCTTACATGTACCGACCAACCCTCGGACAGACTCCGGAGCTGGGCTGGAGGCTCACGGGCCACCTGTATATATTCCTCACGAACCTTGAGGCTCAGCCATCAGGGATTCGTCTAATATCATCCCATTTGGCCTCAGACGGCCCCAATCCATCCTGTGTCCGATTGCCTGCCTACAGTGACCTCACATTCATACTAAAGGTGCAACATACCCCTGATCTCAACATGGTGTGCAACGCCCTCCGCATCCTCCAAACTGAAGCCAAACAAGCTCGGAATACACTGCGCAGTCGCTTGTTGCCGTCAAGGCCGAACTCAAGAACACCACCGAGGCCATCCGCGGGATAATCTCAAACGTACAACAGAACACACATGCTGGAGAGAAAGCAAGGGCTGCCGCCAAAGAGGCGGTAGAGGTAGGCAAGGCGAACCTGGAGATGATGAGACAGATGAAGAACACAGGACCGCAAACAAATGGCACGATCAGCTACGCTGCCATGGCAGCTAGGGGCGCCGCACTAGCAGGTATCCCCAATACACAAGTTCCTAGAGCGCCGTCAGCGCAGACGCAACGTGAAGTCATCGTGACCCTCAGGGACGCATCAATCATACAGAGCATGCGGGCGATGAACACACGTAACCATAACAGCCATGTAGAGCGAGCCATAGCACACAGCGGGAACGAGAACACAGCCAGTATCAAGGTCCTCTCGAACCAACTGAAAAGCGGAGATCTCAGCATCAAGACAGCCACTAGTAGCGAGGTAGAAGCACTGAAGCAGTTTGCCGATGACTGGGTCCACCGCATCGGCCACAGGGCCACAGTACGGATCCCGACATACGGAGTTCTTGCACACAGCATACGGACAAACTCCATAGACATGACCCGGTTTGAAGAGACAAGAGACCAGATCCTACAGGATAACAGGCCGTTCATCCCGCAGGCAGAGATCAGATACATAGGCTGGCTGACCAGAAACGCGCACACTAAGGCTGCATCTAGCGTCATCATAGAGTTCACTAAGCCAGAGGATTCCAACAAGATCATTGACAAGGGACTCATATGGTAGGGCGAGGTCTTCCAATGCGAGCGATATGACAGACAGTGCCGACTGAAGCAGTGCTATAAGTGCCAACACTACGGCCACATAGGAACCCAGTGCAAGATAACAACAGCATGTGGCTACTGTGCGCAGGAGCACGAGACCCAAGACTGTCCATCGAAGCTGGACCGGAGCGAATCAAGGAAATGCGCGACTTGCCGAGGCGAGCACGAGTCGTGGAGCTACCAGTGTCCGACCAGGAAGGAGGAGAGAGCCAAGGTGAAGGCCGCGTACAACATGTGACCTTACTACCACCCTACCCCAGAAGCAGCGACAAAGAACGCAACACTACCAGGAACTGCATCAACAGCTATGCCAATGAGCAGACCCATCCAAGGCGGGACACTACAGAGAACCCAAGCTTCCCGGAACTGATCTCAATCCAGGCGCGGGCAGAAGCGAACCAGCACTGGACACACAGTCGACCAGACGGAGCAGGAGAATCCGCCACGGTAAAGGCCACAGAGAAGTATCACACGCACCAGACATGCGCTTGAAGCAATCGAGCACAATGCACAGCTAACACAAAACAGAGTCGACACAGGCAATGAAGCATGAACAGACAGACAACACTAAGCATACTACAGTACAACGTCCACAAATCCAGAGACACAGTGATGGCATCGCTACTTCAAAACCCAAGAGTACTAAAATATGACATACTGGCCATCCAAGAGCCGTGGAAGAACCCGTTCACTGCAACCACACATCATCCAGTCAAAGACAGGTTCCATCTCTGTTACCCAACAGGTGACGAAGAAGGCCCTGCTAGAGTATACTTCTTTATTAACAAGAAGATAGACCAAACAAGGTGGCGCTTCGAGGAACGCACCAGGGATCTATGCTCTATGATCTTAGAACCCAACTGGGAACGACAAGAAGAGCGACAACTCGTCATCCACAACATATACAACCCGCCAAAGACCGCAAGCAATCGACAGAGCTCCGACAAGCACTACGCAAACACGAAGCAGACGAGCAAATATTACTAGGTGACTTCAATCTGCATCATCCGCTATGGGGAGGGCTGAACACGGGAGCTACAGGCTCAGAGTCAAAGGACCTGATAGACATCACAGGAGACTCTGCACTCCACAGCACACTCTTACCAGGGACAGTCACATACGAAGAAGGCCGCTAACAGTCCACGATTGACCTCTGCTTGATGGCCATAGATTTAGTCGAGAGAGTCGTCAAGAGCGAAGTAAATAGGAGCCTTGATCATGACTCAGACCATCTACCCATAAGCACAGTGCTGGATCTGACAGTGCAACAACTCGAGAGGACAATGAAGAAGGACTGGAGGAAGCTGAACGACAAGGCATATGGAGGAGCGCTCAAGAACGCTCTCCCCCCGCTCCAAAAACCATCGACAAAAGGCAGCATTAGATACATATGTGGAAGAGGTGACGGCAGCGACCTAGGACGCAATTGATAGAGCAGTGCCTCAAGCCCGCCATTCCCCCCACGCCCGGGAGGGAGGGACCGAAGAATGCAAGGCAGTGCTAGCGGAGACAAAGCGGCTCAAAAGGGTGCACAGCCGATGCCACACAAAGGAGTCCTGGGAAGACTACCGTGTGTCGAGAAACCGCAAAGCAAGGACACTCAACAAAGCACTGCGGAAGCACATAGATGCCGCGTAGAGAAGTTAGCAGAATCGCCGGAAGCTCTGTGGAAGCTGGCAAAGTGGGCGAGGACAAGACACAAGCAGCTGCTAAGAGCAACAACAGCCATACGACATCCGGACACACAACATGAACTGGCAGAACTAGCAGACAAAGCCGGGCTGTTTTGAAACGTCTTCTTCCCAACGCCACCGGAAGTAGACCTAGGAGACTTATAGGACGTTGAGTATAACAACCAGATCGAAACGCCGCCAATAGAGGAGACTAGTACTATGTCGCTGCGAAGTATGTCGACAGAGGGTTGAGGTGAAATAGTCGTGAGAAGAGTATCGGTCTGATTCTTGTCGAGAAAAGAAATGCTCGTATGCGTAGTTGACGTTGGGTGATACCATGGTGCACGTTCAGACGTTGAGTCGAATCGACTGTTTATTTTCGATGCTTCTTGATTGTTGGTCCCATCTCTGCACCGTCCAAAAGGTCTTGTAATGTGCGCCCGTCAATCTCCTTCCGCTCATGACACAGCTGAGCGACCTGCTCCACGAGCGAAGGTGGAACGACGACGACTCCATCTTCGTCGCCTACGAGAATGTCGCCTGGATGGATCCAGAGGTCTCCGCTGAACTGCAACGGCACGTTCAGCTGCGAGGCTTTCGTGAATGAATTGGAGCCAAGAATGGAACTGGACCGTGCAAACATCTGTGGTTGATCAGCGCGGTATGACACTCGGTATCAGATCCTATACAGGTAGACCCAAGTCTTGCATTTCTCGAATGTCGCGGAAGCGGCCATCGATGATTACGCCGGCTGCACCGATCTGTTTCAGCCGCGTACCCATGAGTCCTCCGAAGCAAGCTGCTTGCATGCCATTGGGTTGTTGGATGTACATGATCTTCCCAGGTTCGGCGGAGTCTGCAAAGTGTTTCGAGGGCGTCGGTGCAGATGAGTCTTTCGCGTCAACCATCTTGACAGTTACCGCCGCTCCAATCACCGTAGGAGCGACGCCGTGACCCTGCCGTACTGGGCTCCAGATGGAGATGCCATTGAGATATCCACCAAGAGGATATTTGAGCTTCACAAGTGCATCTGTACGAGGTCAAAAACATGTAACAGTATACCCGATCTTATGTCACCTACCTCCTATCTGTACTCGGTGCTTCGTCAGTCATAGAATCGAGAGTAGAAGGGCGAAGCCACTCACGTCGCAACTAGCAAAGGGTCGCAGGGCTTTGATGAGTGTCGACATATCAAATCTCACTATGCAATCAAAGAGGGCGGGTTCAACAGACACAATTGTGATCGGTGAAGCAGCAGGTGCGATAGACTTCGGAGAAGGGGGGGTACTTGCTGCACTAGTCTCAGAAAGGGAAAACGTCTTCGCCGCGGATGCATCCGATCCTCTTCGCCACAACGCGTCTCGACAAAGTCAGCAACAATATTGCGCCCGCGTGCACACTCTCGATGCACTTGTCAGAAAACGCCATCATCGATGGATGCGTCTACTACAGGCGCGGCGAAGCGCAAGCACAGACCGGGGCTACAGCGTGTCTCAATTGCATGCGAGCGCTGCCGAAGTCGCAAACACAAGGTGATCACGGGCCGGATGTATCCACGCAACCCTGCTGACTAGCCGCAGTGCGACAGGAAGCTCCCAGAATGCTCGACATGTCTTGCTGCGGGCGCAGAATGCGTTGTCCTGGACAGAACCACGCACCGACAATATCCTCGCGGTCACGTGGAGGACATGGAAGCCCAGATGTTAAGCCTCAGAACACGCTTAGAGGAGGTCGAGCATGAGAATACTACCTTGAAACAAGACCTGGAGTCAGCTCGCCGCCGCAATGCACCAGGGGAAACACCGCGTGCACCAAGTCTGGAGAGCGGCACGCCCAATGCCACTACCAATACATCATCTGCTAGCCCATTCGGAAGCTTGTTAGACGAAATTAACCTTGTGCCCTCAGATGTCACTTCAGGACAACGCTTTGTAGGCGATTCTAGTGGCCTCTTCTTTGGCAAGATCATGCAAGCTGTGCTTCTGCAAGCAGACTACAAAGGCGAACAGGGGCCAGCATCTGATGCCCTACGACTGCGAGTCGCTGATCGCACTGGAACTACTGCATCGGAGACTATCGTCTCTGTGCCACCATTCGAGTATCCGGACCTTGATGTTGCCCACCGATTGCAGAATGCGTATCATACTTGTCGATGGCCTGCATTGCCGTTCTTACATTGGCCTGCTTTCTTGAACAACCACTTTGGGCCAGTCATGGCATCTCCCATGCAAGCCAGCGATGTATCTCGGTTCATCACTCTCATGGTCCTGTCGTTGGGAGCTATTGATCTCAAACGGCAAGACAAAAGCATTGGTGAAAAGCACCTCGCTTACTTTCAGCATGCTACTACGCACTATCTGGATGGGCTTTTGAAGGATGACAGCGTCGAAACGGTGCAAGGCCTCCTCCTGGTAGCGCAGTTCGCTGTCAACGAGCATCGCAGTGCGAATGCATGGCTCGTCATTGGTCAAGCAATACGAACGGCTGTTGATCTGGGGCTCCATCGTCTACAGCCTGCGACCTTCGATCTGTACAAATCGGAGATGCGGAAGAGGGTGTTCTGGGCTGCTTATGCGCTTGACCGCAACATCTCGATTACCTTGGGACGTCCTTGTGCCATTCGGGACGAGGACATCGACATTCCACTTCCATCAAACCTCACTGACGCCAGGCTCCTCACAGGCGACGACCTATTCGAGGGTGCGTTCGCGCCCAATCATCCACTCGATATGTCGACTTTCATTCACATCATCCAACTCCGCCAGCTACAATCGAACATCCAGTCTCTCTTCTACGCCGCTGATACTACTTACACGCAGGCTGGAGGTACTCAGCTCCATCAAGCAAATATTCGTGCACGGCTAGAGGATTGGATCTCAAGGTCACCGCGCTACACCCAGTCGACAATGGCGACGTTCCAGTCTACGGAGTGGTTCCAAATTGCCTACTCGCATGCTCTGCTCCTGCTCTACCGTCCCTCGCCAGCCAGTCCCGTCGTCGACGCTGCCGCCCTTCAGACGTGCGCAGATTCCGCTATCGGCCTAATCAGCTCATACTCCACACTTTACGCCAAAAACAAGATTACATACACTTGGATTGCTCTCCATGGATTGTTCATGGCTAGTGTGACGATGCTATACACACTCAACGTTAGCCACGATATCAGGAGCAGTACGACCAAGACTGTTGTGAGATCGAACATTGCGTCATGTCTGGCATTGTTTCAAGTCATGGCCAAACATTGGCCACTGGCTATACGCTGCCACGACATCATCGAGAGACTGGGCAACGCGACACTTGCGCTTTTTGATGCGCCACCGCAGGAACTGCCCGCCGCATCTGCCAGTGGCTTAAGCCAGCAGCACTTTGGGCAGATCGATACCGAATTCATGAATTGGTTCGGTACTCGTGACGGTCAGTTGGAATTTTCTTTCGAAGATCTCCGGCATGACTTGGAACAAGACGCCATGGTGTCAGATCACGCCCATGCCATTGACGACACGTCCAACCCAATTGCAGGCGCAGCCTCCTTGCCACAAGACCTTGCCAACCTATTTTCCGTGGGCTTCGATACGACACTGCCAATGATGATGACGGTTTTTGGAAACGAGTCTCGCGACCCTATTGAATGAGTCGTCATCGATGCTTTCCGCGCATTCCCTGATGCACGCAAAGGCGCATCAATGATTGCAACAAGCTGCTACCAATTGCGTAGGCTGTACAGCTAAACTAAGCTGCCAGGGTGTAGCACTCCGTCTATCTTGCGAAACACTCTCGTACGGTATCGCCTAGGCCGACCATACAGATTGTAGCCCAGGAAGCAACTCCAATACGCGGAACAACACCCCGAAAGAATCCACGCAAGCCATTATCCTGCCAGATCAATCGTGCTGTTGAAAGCATTGTAGGTTTTGTTGCAGACTGAGTTGCTTTCACTGCCTGCATATCGACTCGGATAACCTGTGACCATCAGCGCCAGTGTTTCCCTTGTCTTGGATGCGACTGACCTCAAATGGCTGGTTCCAGCAGCTCAAAGCGCCACCGATGGTTGACGCTACGATCTTCTCGCCTATCACCAGCTTGTCGCTCTCCGACTTGCCCCGCAATTTCCGTATCGGTATCTCTGCTGCTTTGGATATGCCCATTCGACTAGCCCAACCAGTGATTTGTCGCAGAGCAACTGCATTGACGCCCTTGTTCACGCCCCGGATGCCTTGCGTACGTATAATGCCAAAGAAAGTCTCCAGCGTACCTGGGACTTTGCCTCCTGCCATCGCGGTCTTGCTCCTTGTGACTTCGACTGTTTTCATGCAAGTGGTCATACCCATTGTCAAGTATGACTGGGCAGCGCCGCCGGCTACACCACCTAGTGTCGCTCCTACCGCTGGGCCCAAACCAAAAGAGTGCGTTGAATGGTATGAGACCTCGGTCGATGTGAGTATCAGGATTGCGCCTTTGGTTGAAGCTTCGAGCCACGCCTAACAGCCTGTTAGTGGTCGAATTGGAGACAGAAGATTCAATTACCTACCCAAGGTATGAGCCCTTGGTAGAAGCCACGAATTAGGCCACGAGCGAGTAAGGCACGCCCTGCTTCTCCAAGAGTCGCGTTGCGGTTCGCTGATACCTACCGTAGTTAGCCGTTGAATCCTCATGGCCAGATCAGTCCTGCTCACATATGTTTTCATGTTTTCCATCGGCTGTCCCAGCGAGGTGACTGTTCATGTCAGTGACGATGGCTGCCACAGCTTGATGTTCCATCACCTTGGAATATGTTCATGCCAGCTCCGACCAGCAAATTCCTCCAAGAGATCTGTTTCCTCTGTGGCATCTCGGCTGTTTTGGAATGGAGAACGGACGCCGACGTAATTGTTGCTTCTTTTGTCGCCATGTTGAGGTCTTAGGTGCGAGCAAGCTCCAGAGTCTGTAAGAAGCTGAACGATTGTTGCTGCACTGAATACATCCAGGCTCGGCTCCACTGCCAGATAAGTGCTGGGGTTCGGATGTGGATGCTCTACGAGCGGAAGCATCCGCACCAACTTCGACCAATCGGAGGCTCAGCATCTCCGCTCGTCACAATAAAGCGTATGCTACCACGCATCTTGTCAATTGAGTTTCTTGTCTTCATTCTTCGTTCGGTCCTTCTTTGACCATGGCTTTCGGTGTGGCAATTGGCAACCACGCATGGCGGCGCGTTCCAGGGGCAGCACTGAAAGTGCCGCGGGCGTCCATGGCCTCAGTGGCCTCTACGCAACCTCGCGCACGCATGAGCCGTTTGGAGTCGGACAGGTTCATTGATTATTCTGTCCTTGATTCTAACATCAAACGAGTACAGGAAAGGTGCGTGACTCACAACATTGCCCCGTGTCAATCGAGTTGCTAATCCAGGATCAGACTACGGAGACCACTCACCTTTTCTGAAAAGATCGTGTACGGCCATTTGGATAATATCGAGGACGCCGACATCCGCCGCGGCGAATCCTACTTGAAACTACGCCCCACAAGGATCGCATGTCAGGATGCCACGGCGCAAATGGCCCTCATACAGTTCATGTCAGCTGGGCTTGACAGCGTTAAGGTCCCAACTACAATACACTGCGACCATCTTATCGTTGCCAAGGATGGTAATACTGCCGATCTGGCCACTGCGACAGCCGATAACGAGGAGGTATATCGGTTTCTGGAGAGCGTCTGCAAGCGATATGGCGCTGGCTTCTGGAAACCTGGTGCGGGTATAATTCACCAGATCGTACTCGAAAATTATGCGTACCCGGGTGGCCTTATGATCGGCACCGATTCGCACACGCCGAACGCTGGAGGCCTCGGCATGGCTGCGATTGGAGTCGGTGGCGCTGATGCCGTAGATGTGATGTCTGGCTTGGCTTGGGAGCTGAAGACGCCAAAGGTCATCGGTATTCATCTTACAGGCCAGCTATCGAAATGGGCATCTCCCAAGGGTAAGCTTTGCAACATGTTTGGCAGTGACTGCGTACTGACCTTCATCAAGATGTGATTCTGAAGTTGGCCGGCGAACTTACTGTGAAGGGTGCAACAGGGTCTATCATCGAATACTTTGGCGACGGTGTCGAAAGCCTCTCTTGCACAGGCATGGGTAAGTCTTATGCAATCTACAAACATCCACTTTTGTGTACTAACTCTAGTACAAGCGACGATCACGAATATGGGTGCTGAGACCGGTGCTACAACCTCGATGTTCCCGTACACAAATTCCATGGGCGCGTACCTAGCTGCCACAGGACGATCTGACATAGCCAAGGCCGCTTCTGCGTGGCGGCATACCCTCGAAGCGGATCGAGGTGCTGAGTACGACCGTCTCATCAACATCGACTTGTCGACCCTCGAGCCATCGATTAATGGTCCTGCGACACCGGATCACGCTATACCACTCTCGAAATTCAAGGAAGAGATCGCCCAAAGTGGCTGGCAAAGCAAGGTCAGTGCCGGCCTGATTGGTTCTTGCACCAACTCGTCATTCGAGGACATCAGTCGCGTCGCCCATCTTGCAAGACAAGCTTTGGACGCTGGACTTCAACCTCAAGCACCCCTGTATCTGTCACCCGGAAGCGAAGCAACGCGCGCAACTCTTGAGAAAGCTGGCGTACTCGAGGTCTTCGAAAAGTCAGGTGCAACTCTGCTTGCAAATGCATGTGGGCCGTGCTGCGGCTCTTGGAACAGGCAAGATATTGCAAAGGTAACGTTGAATACTACCAAAAACACTTACGAGGGCGTCTATTGACTTATATGGCATTCAGGGAACGGACAACTCTATCGTTACCTCATATAACCGAAACTTCACTGGCCGGCTGGACAGCAACCCAGCAACAAAGATCTTCCTCACATCGCCAGAGACCGTTATCGCAAAGACCTTTGCCGGAGATCTTGATTTTAATCCCGCCACTGATGCGATCCGTACGCCAACAGGAGCTTTTCGGTTCGAGCCTCCTCCATCAATAGATCTTCCTGCTGCTGGATATGAGGAAGCGGATGCCGGCTACGTTGCTCCACCTGCCGACCGTGCCCAGTTGCACGTCGACATTTCGCCCACCTCTGACCGAATACAACGCCTCCAGCCTTTCGGGGCCTGGCCTGGGCACGACTACGATGACCTGGTGATCCTCATCAAGGTAGAGGGCAAATGCACGACTGACCACATTACGCCAGCCGGTCCTTGGTTCAGGTATCGCGGTCATCTAGAGAACATCTCTAACAACACGCTGATTGGTGCTGTTAACGCCGAGAACAAGAAGATCAACGCAGTACGCAACGTCTTCACTGGCAAGTATGATGGTGTGCCAGAGACTGCGCGTGACTACAAAGTTCGGGGTCAGCAGTGGGTTGTTATTGCTGAGCACAACTACGGCGAAGGCTCCTCTAGAGAGCATGCAGCTTTGCAACCGCGATTCCTGAACGGGGTCGCCATCATTGCGAAATCTTTTGCTCGCATCCACGAGTCAAACCTTAAGAAGCAGGGCATGCTGCCTTTAACTTTCGTCGACGCTGATGCCTATGATCGGATCGAAGCGAGCGACAAGATAAGCCTAAGAGGCTTGACAAAGCTAGGTCCGGGCAGGGCGGTTGAGATGATCGTCACCAAGTCTGACGGCAACACTTGGAGCACGACACTTGCTCATTCTTTCAACGACGAGCAAATTGGGTACTTCAAGGCTGGAAGCGCATTGAACTTGATGGCGCTAGCAGACGCAGGCTCAAAGACAACAAGCACATTATAGCAATTTATCTGATTTTCTGTATCGCCGGTCAGCGTCATTCGAATGATTCGACCTCATACTACTCGAATACGATTCTCTTCAATACTAGTATCTCCTGGTACTACCGTCTAAGCATCGTCGCGTGGAGTCCTCCGCAGAAGCCAAACTGCGTAACTCTTCGGACGCAATCGCATATTCGGCGCTCTATGTCAGGATCTATCCGAAAACATGTTACGCACCAGGCTTCGACGCAGTGCTATCTCCCATTGGCGGTCGGCGACATGCTGACTTGATCCGCGGCTCATTGGTGCTTAGAAAACATCGGATGCATCCGGTAGTGTGTAGCCGACCACCGTGAATTGTCGCATTACTCAGCTGGGTCAACCTTCCCCACAAACCCCAGGTGGCGTTTCCCCGCGTGGGCTGCGGACACTCAGCGACATGGAAGGCTCAACATTCGTCTTATAAGACCTGGTACTGTGTGCTTTGTGAGAACATCAAGTTTCTTGTATTTCTCTCCCCATACTGTATTCATCATGGGAATCTTCTCGAACTCTCCGTTCGCCAAATATGTTCATGCCATCAAGCAGTCTCCCCGTGGGATCTACAACCACCAACTCATTCTGACGGTGGTCATGTATGCTCTCGGTGGTATGCCTAAAGGTACTTGCACTTTGCAGCGTTATGAACGGGCTTGACTGACCTACTTTGCAGGATGGGACGAAGGTACTACAGCTTCAGTCACCCAGCTCAAGAGTTTTCAACGAGAGTTCGGCATCACACCGAAAGGCAATCCAGGCCAGATATCCAACATCGTTTCCTTTGTCAACCTCACAGCCGGTATTGGAGCGCTCTTGTCATTCTTCCTGAACGACAAGCTGGGTCGGATCTGGTCATACCGGCTATACATGGCGATCTACGCAGCAGGCAACCTCATTGAGACCTTCTCGTACGGCAGTCTTCCAGCACTTTATGTCGGTCGACTGGTCGCTGGGGCGGGCATTGGCGCCCTCACAGTGGTCGGACCAATGGCCATCGTCGAGATCGCACCAGCCATGACGCGTGGATTGATGACACTCTGGTTCAACGTCTGCATGCTCTCGTCACAAATGGTTGGAATCTTTGTGGTCTTTGGGTGCAACTCCCACATCCCAGCTTCGAAGAACCTTCAATACCAAATACCGTTCTTCGTGCAATGCTTTGTACCTGCGATTGGCGTCATCATGTCTTTCTTCCTCCATGAGTCACCGAGATGGCTCTGCCTGAGAGGTCGCAATGAGGAGGCTCTCAAGACTCTGACTACCCTGCGTGGCATGAGAAGCGACGACCCTTTCTTGCTGAATGAATGGGAGATGATGGCGACGCAGCTAGCGCGAGAGCAGTCTGAGTTCGGTGACACTGGCTACGGCTCGATCATCCGCGAGACCTTTCGCGTTCGATCCAATCTCCGCCGCATCCAGCTCACTGTCGTCGCATACATCCTCGCGCAATTCTCAGGGGCAAATTCGGTCACGAACTATCTCCCCGAAATCTTCGGAATCATCGGCGTCGAATCCACGGATGTTAAGGTGTATGCATCAGGCTTGTACGCGTTGGCAAAGCTTATCTGCTGCATTGCAGCGTCGTTATTCTTCGTAGATGCGCTCGGTCGAAGGAAGTCTCTCTTCACAGGTGTCACGGTACAAGCAATTTGCCACAGTTACCTTGCTGGTTATCTATTCTGGTTCATGCGCAACGAGGACGGCATGCCGAAGGGTGCTTCAGATATGGCCATTGGTGTGATCTACATTCACGCTTTTGGCTGGGCAGTCGGTGAGTAGTCGTCTATGCCGCACATTCGTTCAAACGCTAACCTTGTCAAGGTCTATACACTTTGCCATACCTCTTCGGCGCTGAACTCTGGCCGAACCGGATTAGATCCTTTGGTGGTGCACTCTCCCAAGTACGTCCCATCACCGGGTTTCTACTTCGTCATGACTGACCTTGGGCAGGGTTTTCATTGGCTGTTCTATTTCGCGATCACAAAAGCCACGCCTTCTCTTCTCAACACGATGAATCAGTGGGGAGCATTTGTATTCTTTGTAGGATGGTGCATTATTGCTCTGGTTTATGCATACATCATGGTACCCGAAACAGCCGGTCGAGCCCTGGAGAACATGGACGCGCTATTTGAAAACCCATGGTACATGATGAGGAAGGTCGCTGTTGCTGCGCCCAGCAACAAGCTTGATGAAGAGTTTGGAAAGTAGGTTCGCATTAGGTGCATTGACGGACATTCCCATGCTAACTCGCTATAGCACGACTGTAGCAGACTCCAAGAGCATGGTTTCGCAGATCGAGCGCGTGCGATGATGCAAGCATGCCAGAGTCGAGGAGGCGTTGAGGTTCAAGGATGCAGGCAAAACTGGAATATGGTTTTCTCTCGGACATGTCGAGTACAAATGGCTTGTGCAATGACCCTCATTGTTGAAGACGCCAACTCAGCAGGTCTTGCTTGAACTGTGGACCTTTCAACATCCTCACAAATCATTTGTGAATGATGCGCGGACAGAGACTAATGATGAGTCCGAACGCTCTTTCCATTCTTGGAAGCCGGCCTCGTGATATGTATTTATTTGCGCCTTCGCACGAAACTGCTTGAGAGGATTACCGTAGTTGACAGAATGTCGTTACTGTAGGAAGGCGAAGGTAGCCCGGAAAACCTTGTACTTGTCAGAATACTTCATTTACAGATAAGCCTGAGATCTGAAGCAAGAGGCTTCTACGATCTTACACACTATATTGCGTGCACCAGGCCTAGGGAAGCTTCTGGGACATGTCCCAGCAAGAATAACAAATCGCTCTTTGAGATGGTGTTTTCCTTGCTTTTGGTGGCAGATTGGATTCCTATCATTAATCACTGCTGTACTCAGACAACTCGAGTCAGATTTCACATTTTGGAACCACCACGAGTGCGCTCTACCATGGCGAAGAAGTTGTTTCGGCTTCATCCGCATGTCGTAATGTGAGATGTTCGCCTTCGCCGGATATTGATAGCTGCGGATGCATCCGGTCGTGGCTGCTTCTTTCCCCGCCATCCCCACAACCCTCGCCCCGCAACATGGACGGAGCAATCATATTTGAATAAGATGTTTTGCGGCGGTTCTGTGGGGTGAGTTATCTCTAGTGGGTATCACTGATAGGCATGGCAGCTGTAGTACTTCGTTCCATACTTGCCGCACGTACATTCCAAGGTTCGAGGTGAGTTCCAACCCTTCTAACCCAGGCTCTCAATCACCCTGACTTTTGGCTCACGCTAACAAACATTTTCGAAGCGTCATGGCTGAGACAACGAAGTCGGTTGCAGAATGGCGCTTGCCGCTCCACTCATGGGATACACATGTTCATGTTTTTGAACCCTCGAAGTATCCTTATGCCTTGGCGCGGGCATACACCCCAGAAATTGCGACATACGAACAGCTGCTTGCCTTTAATGGCAATCTGACTATTTCGCACACACCACAGAACTTGGTGCTTGTTCAGCCTTCGCCCTACGGAACAGACAACTCTTTGATCATCGACCTTCTAAAAAACCACTCTTCTTGCTCCATTGGCGGTGAGGGGAAGCTGCGCGCGATCACAGTGTTCAACGAGACCCAAGTGAGCGACGATCAATTGAAGGAATGGGATAACCTTGGCGTGCGTGGTTTCCGCATCAACACGGAAGCATCGAGCAGCGGTACCGACTATGAGCACCTCAAAGCCAGAATCAACGATACCGCCAAGCGTGTCAATGAGTATAAGAACTGGAAGTGCCAGCTCTTCATCTCCGGTGAGGATTGGGACCGTAAGTCGCAGACATGAGGTTTAAACCGAGAAGACACTGACTAAAGCGCAGACATCTACGACACCATCAAAGATTTGCCACTTCCGGTCATTGCGGATCATCAAGGTGGCATGAAAGGCACATCGGCTCTGCCTGCCAACGTGACTTCTGTGACGGAGCAGCCCGGTTACAAATCTCTGCTATCTCTAGCAAAAGCAGGTCATGTTTACATCAAAGTGTCAGGCTTCTATCGATCCTCGAAGCTCACCACCGGAGGGTACGATGATCTTGAGCCTTTGATCAAAGAATTCGCGAAAGAGGTTCCAGACCGGCTTATCTGGGCATCTGATTGGCCGCACACTGGCTCCGGGGCCAACAGAACGGAGGCAAACAAGTTGATTCCAGAGAAGTTTCGAGTGGTTAATGATGCCGCTGTCCTGCAGAATGTACGCAAGTGGGTCGGTCCGGATGTCTGGAGGCGCATGATGGTCGATACTCCAGTGAAGGTCTATGAGTAAAAGCCTAGACAACAGAATACCTGTCGCACGGCTGGGTGCAGGTGTTGCAGGTATGGGATATTAAGAAAAGTGATATTTAGGCCATCGAACGGCATGATTAGTAATAAGTCCATGTTCACGACAGCGCTTGGCTTGCGACAATACCGTAGACAACAATTAACTGGAAGTCGAGCATGATCCGTATTCAAATTTCCCTTCGTGCTCAGTCTTCGCCTGTACGGTGCTTGTTGTGTTCTGGAGAGAAGGCCAATGTCGGGGAAGGCAGCAACAGGGGTTCTGATTAAGCGTGTTTTCATACCAAGATACCCCTCTTTTAGCTTCCTCACGAAAACAGCTGCTTTGTACCCCCCCCCCCTACACAAGCGTACAGGGCAGCTAGAGGGTAGACAATGCAAGAAACAGACTCTGCGCATGTAATTACCTTAGCACAAGTCTTTTAGGGCATGCAGTTACCTTGTGGTTTGTTGCGCAAAAGGAGTTGGAGGTGTGGCTTGCTGGCGCGCGTTGCCACAGGATGCACAAACCGTTAAAGCTGTGCGTAGCGGATGTATCCGCAATTCGTCTTTGAACCTTAAGAGTCTATTGAACACCAATCTTAACGGCTGTTACGTTGATCTTCAAGTTTGCTCTTTGCCAACATGCAGATCTTTCGAAGGGGCATGCTCGCTGACAGGGCGCTGCATGCAACTCGACCGCAGCAACGCCAGTTCCATTTCTCGCCGATGCGTCGAGAAGCGCAAAAGACACTACCTGCCGCATACTACAGGGGCGGCACATCGCGTGCGGTCATTTTCAAAACAGAAGATTTGCCCAAAGATCGAGGGTCATGGCCTGAGATCTTTCGTGGTGTGATCAACTCGCCTGATCCGAACGGACGACAGCTCGATGGCATGGGTGGCGGAGTCTCCAGCTTATCAAAGGTTTGCGTTGTTGGCAAGTCTGAAAGAGACGATGCGGATGTTGACTACACGTTCGCGGCAATTGGTGTCACGAAACCCGAAGTGGACTTTTCCAGCAATTGCGGAAACATGATCGCCGCGATTGGCCCTTACGCAGTCGATGCCGGGCTAGTCACCACCGAAGGTTCGAGCACGACCGTTCGCATTTACAACACCAACACTGGCAAGATCATCCATACCCATTTCCCCGTGGTAGATGGTGAGGCTCAAGTTACCGGGGACTTCGCCATTGATGGAGTTGCTGGGACTGGCGCAAAGATCGAGCTATCGTTCCTGAATCCAGCGTACGTGCATACGAATCCAATAGTCTCCGTACATGCTGACTGGAGGTAGTGGCTCAAAGACTGGCAAAACACTGCCGACGGGACAGGTTCTCGACGAGTTCGACGGGATTGCGGCAACTTGTATTGACGTAGCAAATCCATGCGTCTTCGTCAAGGCGTCCGACCTTGGTGTAGAAGGCGGCATCCTTGCACATGCAATTGATGCGCATCCTACGTTGTTGAATCGACTGGACTCAATACGCCGGCAAGCTGCTGTGGCGATGGGTATCACAAAAGAATTGGCTTCAACACCCGGATCGATACCAAAGGTCGCCATCGTCGCTGCTCCGTATCCGCACCGGTTGGTCTCTGGCCAAGAAGTGAGCGAGCGCAACTGCGATGTTCTTGTGCGTGCCATCTCAGTTGGGCAGCCACACCGCGCAGTTCCAATCACGGTAGCCATGGCTCTTGCAGCTGCATCACGCTTGCAAGGCTCCACTGTGAACCAGTGCACCTCGAACAACCTCGTCGACCCAGACGGAGTGACTATTGGTCACAACAGCGGCAAACTTCTGGTTGGTGCGAACTTCGATGCAGACGGTGCCGTCAAGGATGCAACGGTTTTCCGAACAGCGAGACGAATCATGGATGGGATAATTTACTGGTCGTGAGGTATGAAGGCTTCCATACCTAAGTTGTAGATGCGCAGCACGCACGACCGGCATGCAGGCGCCATGGTCCTGCGCACGGTCAGCAATTGCGACATATCAGCCTGTGTTGTTCTTGTTGACGTGTGGGACGAGGTTGGTGCATGCTCGATGACGTATTCAGAAGGGCGCTAGATTTGAGGCCTACCAAAATTGTACCTTGTCATCCTTAGCGTTGTCAATAACGTGTCTCCAGTATTGCCTTTTAGCCTGTCGAACTACAGTCTTAAATGCCCGTGTCTCTTTTAGTAGGGGACCGCTAGGACAGCTGTTTAGCTCGCTTGTGGGCTTGGTAGGCAGCCTTGCACTCTTTAGTCCACCATGGCGCGGCGCGTCCTGTCTTACGGTCAGGTTTGCCGGCTTTCTGTATAGCATGTTTAACAGCCTCTGTGAGTAGCGCGCCGCATTGATCTAATTGTGCTGCACCTTGCGCCGCGAGCGGGTCTGGGACATTCTGGATGCCTATTTCTACCAGCCCAGTGAACATGGGTAGGCTTGTCTCTGGAACTTTGTAGTGGTACTGATCTAGGTGCGGAGTGTCCCTATAGAGGTGGGGACAGAGTTCACTATTGTCTTATGGTCTGACCCGCTGTGCGTGCTAGCATCCACTGCAGACTGGGCGAACGGGACATCAGAGAAGGTGAGGTCGATGACATGTCTAGCTCGGTGTGTTGGCTGTCCTGGAACGCCAATGTTGTCCATAGAGGCGGCGATTGCCCATCTAGCTAGCTCTGCTCCGCTGTTGGCTGCAGTGACGCCAGGCTCGAAAGATTCGTGTTTAGTGTTAGAGTCTCCTCTTATCAAGTGCCAAAAACTGGGTTTGGGTTAGGATTTTTTTTTTAGATTTTTAGCTGCAACAGGATAAAGCAGAGTATTCCATGCACAACACTATCCT